TACAGGCGCCCGCCACCTCGCCCGGCTAGTTTTTTGTATTTTTTTTTAGTAGAGACGGGGTTTCACTGTGTTAGCCAGGATGGTCTCGATCTCCTGACTTCATGATCCGCCCGTCTCGGCCTCCCAAAGTGCTGGGATTACAGGCTTGAGCCACCGCGCCTGGCCACACATCCAATTTCTTTAGTAAAGTTGGAGAATTAATGGCTTAGAGTTTTTTTCCTTGGGTATTAAAATTTACTTTTAAAAGTTTTGTGTTAACAGATATTATTTCTAATATTTATAAAAATAAAAATCTTTAAATAGAAAACTGTAATCCAATTTATAAATAATAACATAAATAAGTCAAGTTTAGGTCAGTTCCACACATGAACTAAGCTGATTCCAGTAGTTTCAGCAATTATGTAATATGAAATTCCTACCTTATGGTAACATGCATAAAACCACCAATCATATATTTTATAAAGTTGGTATCAATATTAAATCTTATCTAGCAAACAACCAGCCACCTACCCTTCAGATTCTTCAGTCTTTTCTCCACCATTATGAGTAGTACAATTTTCACTTTCTGAAGAACAATTCCTTGTAGAAGCTATACTATGTCTTCCTTAAATACAGAAACAAACACATACAAAAAAAAAGGGTGGGGGTTAGTGTTTCTAGCTGAGAATGGGTTTTTATTTATTGAATGGTAATACTGTAAATGCATGGTTTCCAAGGCTAAAGATGGTACTTATCAGGGTGGCATTTTCCTTTAGTATTTCTAAAGATACATGGAAGAAACAGTACACAAAAATGAATCACAAATTGCTACTGTTAGAACGAGAATTTCAAAAACTACTAATGTGGTGTGTACAAACGGGATCAAATGTTCAAAAGCCAACAGCATAGTTTTCTCTTTCTGAAGCAAATTTTTACATCAATACTCTGCCGCTGCTGAGATTAAAATAACTCGCTACACTCAGAGGATTTCCAGAACCAGTTATTATTTCCAATGTAATTGCAGAAAACATCTTTTACCCCACTACTGTGTCAGTTGAAGCTCTTGTTGACTATAATAAAGAGTGGCTGTAGGCTCAGCACAGTAGCATGTACGTGTAGTTCCAGCTGCTCAGGAGGCTGCAGCAAGAGGATTGCTTAAGCTCAGGAGTTCAAGAGCAGCCTGAGCAACACAGTGCAACCTCCATCTCCAAAAACAAAAAGAGTAGCTGTAAAAAAACAAACAAACAAACAAAAAAACCAAAAAAAAAAAAAAAACATAACATGAGAGACAAGCAAGAGTCTCTCAGGAAAGAGGAATATTAAGTAAAGGGCACAGGGCAAACCCCTCTAAAAGAAAGTAAAAGAATATTTGTAGTAAAAAAAAAAAAATACATGAAATTAGCCAGGCCAGTAGATTAGAGTAGAACATTCTGACATAGTAAAGTGGGTTTTTTGGTGATTGTATCTGACCGACAGTTTAACACTTAAAAATTTATTTTTTAAAATGTTTAAATTTTTTTACAGACAGTGTCTTGCTCAGACACCTAGGCCGAAGTGCAGTGGCTTGATCATAGCTCACTGTAACCTTGACCTCCTGGGCATAAGCAAGCCTCTCACCTCAGCCTTCTGAGTAGCTAGGATCACAGGTGTGCACCATCACACCCAGCTAATTTTTATTTTTTATTTTTTTGTAGAGACAGGGTCTTGCTATGTTGCCCAGGCTGGTCTTGAACTCCTGGCCTCAAGTGATCCTTCCACCTTGGCCTCCTAAAGTGCTAAGATTACAGTTGTGAGCCACTGCATCTGGCCCTAAAACTTTTTTTAAAAAGTAGCAAAGATAAACATAATTTTAAAAATTCAGGCCAGGTGCAGTGGCTCACATCTGTAATCCCAGCACTTTGGGAGGCTGAGGCGGATGGATGGCCTGAGCTCAGGAGCTCCAGACCAGCCTGGGCAACACAGCAAAATCCCATCTCTACAAAAAATACAAAAATTAGCCAAGCATGGTGGTGCACGCCTCTAGTCCCAACTACCTGGGAGGCTGAGGCAGGAGGATCTCTTGAGCCTGGGAGATGGAGGTTGCAGTGAGCTGAGATGGTGCCACGGTACTCTAGCCTGGGAAACAGAACAAGACCTTGTCTCAGAAAGAAAAAACAACAAAATTCAGGAAGATACAAATATGAATACATTTCTCTATTAATGTTTATATTAGACTTTAAACAACGAAAGAAAAGTTGATTGGAATATATAATATTCTGCAGAATTATCATAAGGACAAGTACTACATTTTAGTTTAAAACCTTACCTGTTTTGGAAACTGCATCATGACCAACTGGAGTCTCCTGAAATTCTCCATGTATGTCAAGAAGTGAGGATTTGATATATGTGGCTAAAGTTTCAACAGGACTCTCTCCAGCAGCCATGAGGGAATTATACTGGTTGTCAACAGGTGAGCCTCCACTGCTCTTTAATTCATCAAACCTTTTTGCACACTGTCATAATATAAAATGAAAGAAATAGAGGTTTGGGAATTTTTTTTTTTTTTTTTTTTTTTGAGACAGAGTCTCACATTGTCGCACAGGCTGGAGTGTAGTGGCGTGATCTTGGTTCACTGCAACCTCTGTCTCCCGGGTTCAAGCAATTCTCCTGCCTCAGCCTCCTAAGTAGCTGAGATTGCAGGTGCCTGCCACCACGTCCAGCAAATTTTTTGGATTTTTGGTAGAGACAGGGGTTCACTATGTTGGTCAGGCTGGTCTTGAACTCCTGACCTCACGATCCACCTGCCTCTGCTTCCCAAAGTGCTGGGATTATAGGCATGAGCTACCATGCCCAGCGGTTTGGGAATTTTTTAAATAAAAAATTGAAAAGATACTTTCTTGCCTTCTATTTGAAGATATTTTTCAATAATTACTTTTTGTGAGTGAGTATTAACCTGTAGAGTAACATCTAAAATATTTGTACACATTTCACTATGCAAAAGTCTCTAACTTCTATTTTTACATTTTAAAATTCAGGGTAGAGTTTTATTTTAATGTGCTTTAACTCAAAGGCATATATATTTATGCTCCTGTAAAACAAGGAAGACCAGGTTGGGTATGGTGGACCATGCCTGTAATCCCAGCACTTTGGGAAGCGGAGGCAGAAAGATCATTTGAGGCCAGGAGTTCAAGACCAGCCTGGGCAACATAGTGAGACTCTGAGAGAGACTGTGAGATGCTGAGGTGGGAAGATCACTTAAGTTTGGAAGGTTGAGGCTGCAGTGAGCCGTAATGGCACCACTGTACTCCAGCCTGGGATGATAGAATGAGAGATCCTGCCTCAAAAAAGCAAAAACAACAACAAATATATATATATAATTTATGTAATTTGCATCTAGTCAAATTATATAGCTGTCTATTCAGTGTTAATACATACATTTGGATATGTAAAACTCAAATATTTTTCTCTCTCTCAGTTGGTGTTTCTTTAAATTGATGACCTTTTCTGAACATTTTCAGGAGATATTCTGGGGGGACTGTTATTTACCTCTTTCGGTGTTAATCCAGGCACGAGCCTTGCTATAGTTTCCCAGTTGATAGTCTGAGGGATTCCAACTAATGGATAAAGGATCATGTCCAACACCATTTGGTTATTATTGTTCAGGAAATTGTTGTTTTCTGAATATCCACGACTCATCTTTTGGAACTAGGGATAGGGAAAACAAAAAGCTTTATTTAACTCTGAAATCCAAATGTTTTCAGAACATTATAGATCAGTTATAATTCATTCCTAAGAATTATCTGCTACCATGTAAAGGAAAAATAAAACTGACCTAAAATAAACATAGTATAGCCTAAATCTCTTCACATAAAAGGATTTGAATATTATGCATTGATAAATGGATGTATAAAAATATGGAGATGAATAAATATATGATAAAAAGCATATAATATTTTTTATCTTTTTTTCTTTAGAGACAGAGTCCCCAATTTTACAAGATGAGGTTCAGAGATGTTAAGTAAGTTTTACAAGATCACAGAGCTAAGAAGAGGCAGAGCAAGGATTCAAACCCAGGTAAAAATGATTCTCAATTCCACGCTCTTTCTGTTCCACACAAGAGGTATAGTACCGGCTAAGACAGCAGATTGGAAACAATGGTTTAGGGTCAGTAGGGACAGAGTCTAATATAATTTGAAGTTAGTTATGATTCAGTTAAGTAATTCTGAAACTTTCTGTTTGTGAGGTGTGGGGAGAGGGTTATGATATCAAATAGAAAAAGAAACTATGCATGCAAACATAAAACATTTGAGGAACTTTCTTACATCAATGTGGAAGACATACTTCATTCAAACATTTACTGAGCCATCACTATGTGCCAGGCACTGTGTCTAAAGTTAGAACATTAATTTACAGATGAAAATAATGACAAAAGTTTTAACTAGTTATATCTATGATTCAGCTGACACTGGATTCTGGGTTAGGAATACAATCTCCAAATATAAACTGTTCCTATGGAAAAAAAAGATCTATCTTAGGACAAGAAGTACAAAGCAGAGATTCACTGACAGATCAGTACAATAAAAAAAAGCAGCGTACACAGGCGTCTGAAGCTCTGGTTTGAGTTTTGGCTCCACCACCTGCTAGCCAAGGCAAGTCATCCAACTTTGCTGAAATGCAGCAATAAAAGCAGGTGATGGTAATACTTCTGACTGACAGTGTGGAAAGAATTAAAAGAGATTATTTTGTGAAAGCACTTTGAAGATGATAAAAGTACCTCACAAATGAGATGTTGCATAAATAATAGTATTTAGATTGTGCTGAGGATTATGTGAAATTTTTTTTTTTTTTTTGAGACGGAGTCTCGCTCTGTCACCCAGGCTGGAGTACAGGGGCGCGATCTCGGCTCACCGCAAGCTCCGCCTCCCGGGTTCACGCCATTCTCCTGCCTCAGCTGGGACCACGGGCGCCTGCGACAGCCACCGCACCTGGATAATTTTTTTTGTATTTTTAGTAGAGATGGGGTTTCACCGTGTTAGCCAGGATGGTCTCAATCTCCTGACCTTGTGATCTGCCCACTTCAGCCTCCCAAAGTGCTGGGATTTATGTGAAATATTTAAAACACAGCACAGGTGTCACGAATGTGGTACGCTCTCAAATGTTAATTATAATTAGTACTACGTCATTGTTTACATAAGACAGTGGTAGAGAACATCAGGTGGTAGACAACATAAAGTTATCCTACATGTGTTTGAATGAACGTTTAAAAGAAACAAAAACAGAAAAACATTTAGCACACTAAAATCACAGCTTCCTACCAACCAAAGATGTACCTTGTTGAAGGCCAGAACAGTGGAGTAGTTAAGTGTGCAGACTCGAGTCAGACTGTCCAAGTTTGCATCCCAGCTCTACTACTTATGGCATTATCTGGTTCAGATTAGCTAATCTCTGTGCCTCAATTTCCTCATCTGTAGAACAAAAATAATAACAGTAGCTAGCTTACGTACTTCTGAGGATATATGGAAAGTGCTACCTGGCAAAGAGTGAGGACTACATAATGTGTGTAGCAGCACTACCACTCCAGAGATCCTCAGATTTAAACAGATTCATAAAGATTAATGTGACAGATAAAAGGAGAGACAGCAACATTCCAATGAAGTATGCCACCAACAAAATGAGTAGAAAGAGTCAGCTACAGATTCTTACCCAGCTTTACCACTTCTAGCAGTGCAACCTATGGCTCCAATATACTGTCTCAGCTATACTGTAAGGAAAATACCTAACCTTTGGAGTTATGGTGAAAATTCAATAATACTATATATAAAGCACCAGCACACTCTCTGGCATACAAAAGGTGCTCAATAAATAATTTATTACTATTATTTTTCTCCTCTCTACTTTGCCCATTATTGGCACAAAAATTTCCAAGAGTTAGTTTAATAACTGTAAAGCACTGCCTTGTGCCCAGCTGAAAACAGATTTTACAGAACTTCATTGTTTTTTAAAGAGCTGGTCATCTCAAAGTCAGATGAAAAAAGTGAGTAAATCTGAAAAGTAATGCCCTTTTTCATGTTCCAGACTGAGTTTGATGAAAACATGGGGAAAGAAGGCTTAGAAAAGGTCCTGGAAGAACCTTGGAAGGGCCCTGAGAAATTTCTGTTTATTTCTCTCTTTAACTCGCTGGATTATGATTTCTTTGATGGGCTGGGCCTTCTATCTTTGATTCCCCAGAAGTGTGACCAGCAAGGGAGATACTGCCAAAATGTTTGCTGAATTAATGAAAAGGTCACAAAACCTTAAGAGACATTTAATGTATCCTTTGGAACTCACTCCAAACTGCAGGTCCACAACTCATTTAAACATTTAAGTATAGATGGGGATGTGCAAAGATGGATGGGGATCTTGTCCTGCTGGATTAATCAATTTAGTTTTGAATCCTTTAAAGACTTGGTTTCTCTCTAGTGAACTGATCTCTACTTGTTTGCCTAATACTTGGATCGCTTTTCATACCACACAATTTGGGAGGCATGTTAGAGCATATGGTACGCTGTTGTTGTTGTTTTAAGATGGAGTTTCGCTCGTTCTCTCTTCAGGCCAAAGTGTGGTGGCACAATCTCCATTCACTGCAACCTCTGCCTCCCAGGTTCAAGCGATTCTCCTGCCTCAGCCTCCCGAGTAGCTGGGATTACAGGCACGCACCACCATGCCCAGCTAATTTTTGTATTTTTAGTAGAGACAGGGTTCCACCATGTCGGCCAGGATGTTCTCGATCTCCTGACCTCGTGATCCGCCCGTCTCGGCCTCCCAAAGTGCTGGGATTACAGGCGTGAGCCACCGCACCCGGCCAGGGTGTTTTATTATGATTTTTTGGGCCTTGGTAGAAAACAATCTAAAATGGAATTCAGGGCAAGGATCCTCCCTGACAGCTTACTTCTCTTCACTTCCAAAAAGATTCCTTTTTAAAATATTACCCACGTCAAACACTTAAAAGCTTATATTTCAAATGGGATACTCATTTATGCTATACATGTTTAACAGTACTTTAAATCATCCAAATGTGAAAAAAAGTTTTTCTGTTGACCAACTGTACAGTTGTTATACAACTGTACTGGGCAAGGGAAGACTCCCCAGCATTAATTCTAGTTAAATGATTGTCCAAGAAATCAGAGTCTGAATTTAAGTATAAAAGGCATAGCACTGATGGATAATCCTTAATAAAACATAAATTATCTCTAAATAGCTGTCATAGTGCACCTCATTCTGGAAATTATAAATTTATCAAAAACAGTGACAAGAAAAAGTTCAAAGTTCAAATTACTATGAAATCCACTCACATTCATAAAATACCAAAATCTTGAATATTTAAGGTAAAATACGTTATTTACCAAAAATAAAAATTCAATTTGTTTAACAGACTTCACTTTTTAAGAACACACGTCCCCTCCCATCCCCCACCCCCCTTCTCTTGGTTTATATATTTAATATATACGTATTAATAAGACTAGTCTAAGTCACTTCCACACCAGATAGAGGTGTACAACAGGAATCTGATATTTTTTTTTCTTATTTCAAATAGAAAAAAAAGCTCTTGGAGACAGAGACGTTTTTCCTTAGGCAGTGGAAAGATGGGAAGAGAGGGGACCCCGTGGGGCAGGCAGGCAGGCAGGTCAAAGGCCTCTGGCCTAACAGAAGGCGGCGGTAACACCGAGTCATCCCGGACCGGGAAGAAGCCTTGTACCCAGGCTTCCTGACTTCTGCACACACAAGAGATCGGAGGCAGCTGGAGGAGAAAATAAAATCACATCCCAGACCCGGGATGAGGTCAAACCCCTTCAAACCTTGGGCCCGGAGGCTCACTGCGCGGTGCGTCCTCGGGGCACCCCCAGACCTTCGCGCCCCGCTCATGCCCGTGGAGGCACAGAAACTCCAGGGGCGCAGAGCAGACAAAGACTCCAGGCCGCGGGGCGAGG